TTTGAACTGTTGCACATCTAAGGGGCTTCTCTTGCAGGCAGGGATGGATCTAGGACTTTGAAAAGGGAGGTGCAGATGGTGCGGTGCATCAGCACAACATATATTTTTCTCCAGTTAAAAAGAAACAAGATGATTTACTACTATGGTAGGCGCCTAGAGCTGTATTATTCAGTTTAAGATCAAGGCAAAACTATACAACTTTATCGGAATATGCACTAATTTGTTAGATTATATATTGTTTAAAGAAACCATAATGAACAAGGCAAAAATAGTAAAAAAATACAGTCTTGTTAGTCCTGCAGTCATTATAGCTAAGTAGGTATATTTTATTCATATTTGTAATATAAAATCTAGCCTTCTTGACCATCTTGACAGTGCATCCAACATTTCACTACTACTCATTTCCACATGTGAGTTAATGTACAACTCAGTTAAGGTTTTTAGCTATAACTAAAAACAGTCAGCAAGGCTGTGAAAATAGGAGAGAGAGATTAACCAGGAATGGCTAACAGACAGCACAATAGCAAAAGAAAGGATGGCTTGATTTATGGGACATCAAAAAGAGAGAAGGTTGTTAACATCTGTGAAGAGAGATTAGCAAGAATCAGGTATGAGCCATGAAAAAAACTGACCCTTTCAGCAGTGCCTGAGTAGAAATGGTGCTGCCCTTCCCAGGCAGTTGGTTTTAAAGCTTGGGTGGGGCAGGAGCTAAAGAGGAGTGCAACTGTACCACTGCACGATCCCCGCCCTGATGCACCCATGCACACAGAGTTCCGCAAGGTTGTATCTTTTTCCTTCTCTCATTCAATGTTTATATGGGGATATTTTGCAGGTTAATAATGGTGTCTATTTCTCTAGCAACACTTTGAGTCCCAAAACTTCTGGCTATGGAAGAAAGAAAGGTGAGGATAAGAGTTAATAGTCTGAAGATCAATCCAGGCAAGACTGACTTGAAAGTAACTGGTAGAAGTGACCTGCTAGGGTAATATCAGTAGCCTAGTGACTTGGCAATTTGGCCATATGATGACCCAGCAAATCAGATACTTATGGATCTAAGAGATCCTCCACTGACAAATCTAACTTGTAAGTGGTCTTTGGTAGTTTCTATTGAGCTCCCCTACTTCAAATCAAACCTTGTTCTCTTTCTGTAAGATATACTGTAGCTCAGAAGTAATGGGCTTGATTAAAGAATGATTTGGTGAAATTCTATAGTCTCCACTATGCAGGAAGTCAGATTAAATGATCACAGTGGTCACTCATAGCTTTTGAATCTATTAATTTACTTTCTGGGGGAACACATTTTCATTAACAGAACAGGTAGGACAAATACCTTATCTACAGGTTAAATGACTTGTTAACAATGTGCAATTGATCTACAGATCAGTTCTACAATTTTCTAGCATGAAATGTTGTTTCTAGCCTGTATGATTCCAGGGATCCAGGTTTTCCATTTCCCACTTAAAAACAGAGAAAGCCATGGATTTCCCCTTTTTATCAGAGAAAACGTGGATTTCTCCTTTTAGCAGAGAAACCTGCAGATTCCCTGCTTTTGCAAACAGCAATGCAGGCTGGCTGAGCTCCAGCCTGCAAAAGCTGTTTGCAAACAGGGCAGGAAACCCACAGCCCTGCCCATAGGGGAAGGAGGAGGGGAAGGGTGGGGCTCTCAGTCAGCCATGGCTCCACTCAGCTCAGCTCAGACTCACTTATCTCTTGGAGCCTGAGGTAAGTGGGGCTTGCAGGGGGCTCAGGGCCCCTGCAGCAGAGCTGGGGGGCAATGGCTGTGGGTGGGGGCAAGCGGCATGAGTGGGGTGGGAGGGCTATTGGGGGGGAAGTGAGAGGCACCAGCAGTGCTGGGGATGGGGGCTTTGAGGGCAGTGAGAGGCACCAGAAGGTTTGGGGGTTGCTGCAGGGGGCTTTTAATTTTAATAACAGATTTTGGGGGGGAGGTGTTCAAAGAAAACCAGGATCCCTGACAAAAATAATCTAAAAAATGGGAACTGAGTGTAAACAGACTCAGTGTTGTGTCTCTGAGCTTACAGATAGGATTGAAGTGAAGCTACTCCAGAATTTTCAATTTACAATGTCAACAAATGCGTATCTAGCTTGTTGTGGAAACCTTGACCTTGAATTGAAGTGTGGCTAAATTATATCATTCCATTTCAAGATTCTTCATTTAGTGGAAGACATAAAATATGGTTTGAGAGTTATGCCCCTTAAACACATATGGAAAGGAGGCACATCATCATCTATATTATGGTATACTCCCCTAATGCACCTTTTCTATTTTGCTAGAAGAGCATTCACATAAGTGAAAGTGAATGCATGCCATTCTCAAAATGTGGCCGTGTGGGTTTCTCCAGATGTTAGAATATGCATTACTATATCACAAACTCTTGTATGATCTTTTATTAAATATTACTTTTTTAGAAGATTTTCAGGATCATTAAAAGTAACATAATTCATCTAATGTTTTAATTATTTCCATCCCTGTCTGTCTTGAATAGATACCTGTGCAGAACCCTTTACTGCTAGAATGGTATCAAGATTTCCCATAAGATCTGCAAACTACTGTAGAAAACAGGACAGTGGCTATGGGACTAGTACAAAACACTAAACTCATTCTACTAGCAAAGAGGGACTATTTAAGAATATGCACATTACCAAACAGTTTCACACACTACTCAAATACGCAAAGAAATAAAGTCCTTGGCTTTCTTAAAAAAACTGCAGAATATGAAAGTGTGATATAAGAAAATCTTACATTTAGTAATAGGACTGAAAATCAGATTTCAGAATAATCCCAGAATGGATAAAAAACAAAGGACAGACAGCTACAATGGATATGTACTTGAATATAAAATGGTACTTGAATGTGTTATGCAATTCTCTGGACATCTGCATGGGTGTTCTTGTACATTCATTCAACATACTGTACTATATGATCTGAATTTCAACCAGAAAAGTGGCAAGAAAGACTCACAAAGGGCACTGCATAGTTACTGAATAATAAGAAGAGTCCAGCAGTGCTGCCTTGTGGTACCACATCAGTTTTCTCAGTACACTGAAATGCAAATGTGCATTGTTGTTGTTGGTTACAGTGGTAAAATTGAAATTGGAGGAAGCAGATGCTGTAATCTGATGATGGTGTTCTTGCTGAGTCTGAAGAATCACTTCAAGAGCTAGTAATAAGAGTCGCTGAATCTAGTGTTGATTACAGACTACATCAGAATGTAAAAAAATAAAGGTGATGACACTTCTGAAATGGCATATTGCAGCCACAATATAAACTGGAAATAAAGAGGTTGATCAAGGAAGGAAATTCTAAATCCGCAGCATGAACAAATGGACGTTCCCATTTCTGGTAGAAACTAGGTATTGATCCCTTGTGCATGCACATGTATGAAAGTTATAGACAATTATGCTTCATAAAGATTTTGTCAATACAAAATCCAGACTTGTATATGCCATGATTTGATCTACCTCTAGGTATAGGGAGACCCTGTGTGGGAGACATGGGAGAGGATAGTGGCTGGAATAGAGAGAGAGAGTCAGAGATCACAGATGAAAAGAGCAATGGTGCTTTGTAATATAATGTTAACAAAAAATACCATGCATGCCATATTACAAATGACAATGAGATTAAGAAATCAAAATATTTTTAGCTCAATTTCTCCACAAAGCAGCAGGAACTCTGCTGGGAAAAGGAACAGGAAGGACAAAAGTAACTCATCAGAGTGTACTTGTACTGAGTCCTCAATTTTCATTATTTTATCCCTTGGATATGGGTGCTACTTTCAGCTGAGGTCCCTTCTTCCAGGGTGGACCAGGCATCAACTTCTTTAGTCATGAAATATTAAGTCTTCTTGCTGTAATATTTTCTAATATTGCATCCTGGCCAGTGGCCACATCATTTCCAGTTCATAAAGTGCACCAGCATCAATCAGACACTAATGCTGAGGAGGTAGAAAAGCTTACGGAAAATTGAAGTGATCAACGAGTTTTTGCACTACAAATAAGTCTTGACTACAACTCAAGAACTCCCACTTAGGACTCCAAGAACTAGTGATTCTTTGCGATGGACTAATTTAGAGCAATTGAAAATAGTGGCAAACTGCTGAATCTTCTATGTTGTGAACAACCTGAACTCTTGAAAGCTAGTTTTATTTTAATCATCCAGGAGGCAAGCAACAAAAATATGAAGAAAGTTAATGGACTGGCTATTTTATATCAGTCTAAAAAAAATTAAATGCATTTCCCTTTAAAATGTCATTGTTGTGTCCCACTACTTGTGACACATCATGTCGAGCGGTGTGACTTCAGATAGCAGTCAGTAGCTGAGCCAAGCACTCAGCAGATGTTTAAGAGACCAGGTGGCCATAAGAAATGGGTAATTTTAGATCTCTCCAAATAGTTCAGCAGCCAGGATTCTTTACTGTTTGTGCATCTCCAGTCTAAATCTCTGACAGCAAAGACAGCAACTTTGATTTCCCAATGAGCATCATCAAGCATATTTAATTGTCTCTGAATGCTTAAGATTTATCCACTTGGGTTTACAGCAGAAGGATGGGAGAGGGACTAGCAGGGAAGGTAATCGCACCACAAGAACCTCTTAGCTAGCTACTTGTCAGGTTCAAAGCAGTTGGAATTGCCAATACACTTCTGCTGTTTCACGAGTCTGATGAAGTTTATTCTTCGAACTTTCTATTTCCCTACTATTTCAATTGAAATAAGATAGAATACAATATAGCATAATAGACAGACATGGTTCCTATGTCCTTAGACCAACACAGCTACAACCTACACCTATATAGCATAATATACATACATTTAATTGGCTCTGAATGCTTAAGATTTATCCACTTGCATCTGCATTTGCCTCAGGAAGGGAAAGGGACTAACCATGAGGAGTAAAACAATACAAGTACCTCTTAGTTAGCTACTTATCAGTGTAAATACACTCAGAATTACCTTCCTGCTTCAGGATTTTGTCATTCCTGGAGTCCTAGAGCTGGTTTGGCAGAGGTCAGACCATTCTACTATTTTAAGAACCACCCAGCATACTGGTATCATGTACTTGATAATACTTGCCCATATTTGATATATTGCACTATATGGGTGACATTATGTGAGTGGGTAACTCCGTGTTTACAGTCATCCTGAAATTTTAATAATATGTATTATACATCGATTACAACCCATTCTCATGACTCAAAGCAAGGCTGGTGAGAAAATTACCAAATAAATATGAGTTTTATCGCACAAGGGATTCAAGTACTGGCTAGAGAGATTTTAAAAACTGTTGAAGAGCTCATGTTTATCATCTTAAGGAATATTTTAGGATGGCCCCACCAAACGTTATAACCACCAAAGAGAAACCAACATGAAAAGTCTGCAAGAGTTTGCACTCCATGCTTAACACTGGAATAGGCGACACCTCTAAGAGTTTAGGAAGTTAAACGTGAGCAGATAGACAGTACTGACATGGTCAGTATGTGTCAGTGCTGTCTACTATCAATTCTCAGTGACTTGATTTACGGAGGTTTCAATAATCTAGGGCCAAAGTCTGGACTTCCAGGAAACAGACTGACGCTCCAGGAACTCCCTGCAGGGATGGGGTATCAAGACACCAAGAACAGAATTTCTGCCCATATCTAAACTTTAGCATCGATTTAAGCTGTCCATGCTCTTTTCAAGGTCTATAGTAAGGGAAGTATCACTTTACTTTTCTCATGTACTGGAGTTAAAGAGTTCATTTTAGGTAATAAATTGTGTATACTGATCGCATAATCCAAAGAAGCAGTAACTGCAGTGATATAGACAAGGTACTATTTTCCTCAGTCATGATTTAGGTCACAGCTTCATCAGATTGGTTATTGCTATAGCAACCACAGCTTTTGCCTTTGTACAGAGACTTCTAATGGTATTCCACAAGGTAAAGGAAACATTCTGAAACAGAAGAGATAAAGCAGAGGTATTAAGATGTAAAGATAATCAAAGTAAAAACAAAAACAAGCTACTCTTTGCTTAAAGATTAGAATGAGACTCCCTTAGCGAAAGAAAAAGGATGGAGTTAGTAAAAATAAATATAACAAGTGTTGCATGAGCTCTGGAAGGAATCAAATCATAGTAAGGTTATTAAAGCTCAGAACACAAAGGACTCTTTCCTCTGGTACAGAAGGTCACAGATTTAACTCCTGTGAAGGGAAAATCCAAGCATACTTCATTTGTTGTGCTTCTACACCAGCATAAGCACCTTTAATTATTTCAGTCTCTCTCTGCCTTCCACACAATGGCAAAACCCTTAGCCTTGTCAAGGAAGGTATTATTTATTGCCTAGCTCCTGTAGGAAGCTTTATTTAGCCAGCCTCGCCAACAGAATAATTTCCACAGGAAACTCTGTCCCCTCAAATTGTTTCCTAGTAATATAAAACTGAAGAGACTAAAAATTAGCTCAGTGCCCCATTTGCCGCAAGCTTACTATGTCCCATTAAAGCATTAGCGATCCTACTTATTAAATATATTTTACACATGCTAATTTAAAACTCCAGGCCCATGTCTCTTCAAGTTTCCAGTTGCCTTTTCGTTGGACTGGCAGATGAAAAGACATAATACAACTTACATAGTGCAGCACTTTTCATCTTTAAAGTATGTTTCAAATGTTATCTTATTAAGCCTCAGCATGTTCTTTTAAGTTAGGTGTTTCTATTCCTTCATTGCATGGGAAAATAAGCTCAAAGATTAGGGGACTTGGCCAAGGACTTAGACGGAGCTACTGAGAGCCTGTTGTGACTGCCTTCAGCTCCCTGGCATCCAATTAACAGGACTGCACAGGATAGTCATCGCCTCTCAAGATGTACGCAGTTACTTGTTGGTTCATGCCCCTCTAAGAAAAGGGTGTCACTTGGGATGGATACTATGTTCTCTTGAATCATCAAGGGCAGTAGATACATTTAAGCAGCAACTGTTTTGCTTATGTATGATTTTGAAAAGGTAGGGTCAGGCAAATTAGGTAGTTAAATGTTAACTAAAGGATCTAGTCTTTCAAACACCAAGGCCTTTATTTTAAATATTTGCTGAAGTCCATTCCTGTTAAGCAAAGCACATGCCTCAGTGCCTTTGAAGCCTATAGGACTCCTCATAACTGGATTCAAGCCCATAGTGCTAGCTGGATACGTTGCACCAAGTCCCAAATCATGGCAGAAAGGACGTAGCCTAGAAGTAAGTGTCAACAGCACTGGGCCCCAGTAGCATAACCAGGGCATGAGCCCCAAGCAGGGGGAGCTAGTATAGCCCCCTGCCCTGCTAGGAGTCTTTGCTATGGCAAGGACAGCCTTGTACAGCCCCTACCTGGCCCTAGAAGCCCTGCATAGCCCCTTCCTTCATAGTATATCTGGGGAACAGAAGAGGGGGTGGAATGATGTCCTCCCACATCCCTAGATCCTTTGCCATGGGAGCCACAGCCCTGCCCCTGGAGTTGGAGGGGATGGGGGAGACTAGGGCACCAGAAGAAGCCTTCAGAGGGCCTGCGCTGCTTGCCTTGTGCCTCCAACACATGCTCATACTGTTATGGTGGTGGCAGCAGCAGCAGCAGCTGAAATTCAAATGAACACAGCAGAGAGACCTGGAAGGCAAGTTTTCCTCTCTGTTTTCCAAAGTTATCACACTCTTGCATTTGTTTTCAGTTCAGAAGTCAGACTGATTACTCTCTTTTATTATGACTTTCTTGTGCCAGCCTACTTTTTATTGCTTCCAGGGGTTAATTACCAACCTCCCCTGACTCAGATGCATCAACGTTATATTTTCAATCTCTGAGTCTGTACCCATCTCGGAGTTCAGTCAACAGACATTGATATATTCCTGCAAATTGTGATTTTAATAAGAACCATCTCAAAACACAATTGTTATTTAATACAAAGCAATAGAAACACTCTGAGAATTTAAGTCACAGGGGAACATTGGCTTCTTTCAAAATTCAAGGTAAATTTCAAAATCCTGCAAGTAATGGTCACACTTGTATGTTGTGTGGGCCTGTGGGAAATGTCCAAAATACTTGTGACGCAGTACTTCAGCCCTTAGTGGCTTTAGTAGTATTATCCTCTCCCTTCCCCGAAGATGGCATACTTCCCAAAATTCAGTAGCACTTGGGAGATTGGTAACTTTGATCTATTAAAAAAATTATTCAGGAAGCTTAGGAGACTGCAGTTAAGATGCCATCGAAGTGGAAATGAAGATGTAACCTTTACTATGGTGCCTCTGGTGCATCCCCATAATTTCTATGTAAATCAGTTAGTCTCTGACTGGTTCACTTGCATTTCAATTCTGCTCCTACTACAGGAAATGTCCACAGCTCTCCCTATAAAGATCTCATTTGTCAATAAGTACTACACTGAGGATATTGTCCTTCCAATTCGACCCTGTTTCACTTTGGGCTTACTTATGGATGCACAAGATGGGCCAGCCCTCACTGGTATAAATTATTAGAGCTCCACTGACTTCAATTTCACTGTCTCCCAGGCTAGAACTGTCCTTACATCATACCTTCCATCAGTACAGTTTTTTATACAAGTATCTAATGTCTCATAAAGTTAAATATTGTTGTCTGTACTTTAAGGTGTTGTATATATTAGCAGTGTTATAAAATCTAAACAAGAGCAGGAGGAAAAAGAAATTGAGAGTGACAGGAGTAAGGGAAGAGATTTTTTTTTTTCTCTTTTAAAAGCTGAAATTACAAGGGAATATGAGTTAAAGCTATTCTGAGCCAGTTAAACTATTTTTAAAAAATGTAAAAGCTTTTATTAGCTTAACGTTCTATTTTAATCAACACAAGTAAAAATATGCATATCTTCATTGCTTTGTCAAGATTATGCACATTTTCCTCCTGACTCACGACAGCACTGATCATAATGGGTTTAATTGATATTCATGTGCATGCCATATTTACTTCTGTAGAGTTCCCGTGTAATTGAGCAATAGTTAATGGGTACTTAGGGCTCTATTCACAAGAGATTACAAATGTGTGCCTATTGGGGAGCTTTTTCCTGTGGAGTTTCCATGTGTCTGGATGGGTCCATAATCAGCACACTAGTCATCAGACAGAACAGCTGAAATTTGCAGCTCTCTGCGGTCTTCAGAGGGACAGAAATTCTGTACTCTTTCCCAGCTCTAACTGGGGGAGGTGACTGTGAAGAGGTTTGTGAATCGAAACTGTTCAGTAGAACCACTGTAATACTTGCATTGGTTTCCAGCTAACGGGTCAGTAAATGGTTGCTATGATTTGCAACTTCAACAGACCTGGGCTAAAGTCTGAACTATCCTCCTTCCCACACAGCTTCTGCTTCATCCCTGACAGAGGCAACAAAAGCTTCTGAATTTTTGCTCCTTGAGTAAAGGGCAACCTTGTGGCCACTATAGCTATTCCCTAGTTTCTAATTTCATTTGGGCAGATGGCTGTCCTCTTGGGCTCTTTCAGGATCAGCTGGCTGATCTGTTCTTCACTCTATGACAAGTTATTCCCTTAAATCCAGAGGAATAATCTGTAGCGCTTGAAGCTAAAAGGACCCGTTGTGCTCCACGGCTACTTAGCTTATGGGAAGCAGTATTAACTGGAGCTTACATTTATTTATGGCAGATTTCATCAAGAGAGATCCCAAAGCACTAGTATACAAAGAGGAATTGTGTTGTACTACTAAAAAGCTATCACTAACGGTCTACAATGCAGCAGCTGTTTAACTGTGTAGAGCAGAGCTATACAGTGGTTTAGGACAGCCAGTCATATATCATATCATATCATATATCACAATTCATCACAACATGACACAATGTAATGTAGTATTGTAATGTAATGTAGATGTAATGTAATGTAACAAGTGTGCATGCATGTGTAATATTAAAACTGCAGGGAGATTACTCAGCATGTATAGCATTTGGACTGTTGTACTTTAATTGGTGGCTGGTGTGATTATATTGACTTGTGATTTTTAAACTACCTGAACATAGCATAAGTGATATAACCCCTCAGTGCACTAGGTCTGGCCTCTGGATTTGTGGTTGATGGGACTCCAACATAACTGTCAAAAAGCATGTATGTACAACTTTTACATATGTGTTATCAGACATACACCAGTTGTCATCTATCCTGTAACACAGGTGTGGTCACAACCTTTACTTACTCAGAAAAATTCCACTGGGCCAAATCCTGACTAATGGTCAGATGCATGTTGCTTTTCCATTCTCCCCACACTGGGACTGCAGGGGGTTTCTTCCTAACCAAAAACAGTTAGTAGTAACGGTTCCCCAGAGAGGGCAATGCACTTTAAGCTATGTGCCCTTCCACTGAACCTCTGCAAAGTGGCTTCAAGAGGGAATCAACCATCTTCCCTTAGTTCTTACTCTCTCAGGAGACTGGTCAACATGGGTTCTAGTCAAATGCAAAGGAAGAGTCTCTTCTTGTATGAAAAAGCAGGTATAGTTAGGGTTTTCATAAAACTAAATGCTTTTGTCTGGCCATAGCAGCTCTAGAAGTGCATGTTTTGGACACTGAAGACAAAGTAATTTTAATTAAGTTTCCAGTACAACTGCCCCAGCTTTATAATTCCTTGAGGATGGGATGATTGCTTTCTAGTTTTGAGCAGATTTGTCTCCCACCTTTGGGATAATGACAGCCAAGCTACATAGTTGCCATCATTTTTTCTCAGGTGGTGAAAACTGAGAAGAATGGGTAGAAAAAGGGTATATGTAATTTTTTGGGTGTGAATCCCATGAGACAAGAATGGAAATAAAAATCAGTGTAGTCTGTATGAAAAGTCTTTGACAGGTTAAAATATCAGATGGCTTTATTTTACAGGTCTATTTTACAGACCCTCATATTGCTATGTGGTAGTAACTGTTGCATTCATTTGCTAGCACATAGGACAGTGAACAAAGTTATTCTTTGCAGAAGGCATGAATTTGGGGAACTTGGAAACTTGATTATTGTTATGATGAAAATCATGCAGTGGTAGTCCAAAAAGCAGGTGTAGACTGGAAATACAGCATCTAATACTGACCTCAGCAGTTAAATTTATGATCTTTAATAGGGCCTGGTATGCTGGGAGACAGAGATACTACTACATTTGTTGACAAGTCCACTATCTTGTCTCTGATTATCCCAGACAAGCCCAGAAGGATGCATCATTCAGCATGAATTAAAAGGATTGGGCAGTAGTAAGTTTATGGTAATTTTTAGGTTTCTAAGTTAACACTGGGTGTTATGAACATGTCCATTTTGTACACTGAATATTCAGATAGGGTTGTGATAAAACTACTATTGGCATATAGTTTGTTCTACTGAACCGCAGCACTCCTGCTTGAACTGTTGGGGTTTCTCTCTCTGATGGCTTTAGAGGTTGCCTACATCAATTTACAGAATGCCTTCAATGCCCAGATGGAAGATGACTCATGTATATTAGTTCTAGATTTTATAATCTCTATGGCAACTGCAACACCATACTAAGTAGTTTCTAGTTCATCTCATATCTGGCCATGTTCTGAATCTTGATTTTGGAATGGGTTTGACAATAGGTGGTATGGCATTGGAATTAGATCCTTCTCCTCAATTGTTTACATTTTGGAGTTAATAGGAACTATTTAGCTTCTAGGATTTGGAGGGAGAGTGCTGTCTTGCCAAGTGACCATTTTGTTGATGGTTTGTAATATACGCTAATGATTTTTTGTGAATGGTCACGTCTAGATGAGACGCTGACTGTGCAGTAGCCCGAGACTACTGCTCAGTAGTGTCACATGGCAGAAACCGTGACGTGACACTACTGCATGGTAGTGTTGGGCTACTGTGCAGTCAGCATTACAAGAACGTTGCAAGTTACTGCACAGTCATGTAGTACTTGTATAAGCAATGACTATACAGTAATGACTGCACAGGCAGCGTCTCATGTAGACATGGCCAGTGAACCTCAGATCCCCTATTCCTCAATATTTATCTCCAGGTGATTAAAAAGCTGGTTAATTTGATCTGTCACTATTTGATGAACGATAACTAAACTCCCAAAGTGTTTTAGATGTCCAAGTCCCACCCAACTACATTTGTTGATACCCAAGTCTAACATTTAGATCAGAACCCTTACTCAGCTGCTGCTTCACCTTGGAGGCACCAGAGCTTCCACTAATAATATTCCCTAGGTCTCATTTTCCTTGGCCCACCCAGAACTGCCTAAGAATCACTAGCACATACTGGAAATGTTGACAGTGCTGAGAAATAATGTTTCAAAGCCTTATGTAAAGCTACCAACTAAGACATTCTTCCGCGTATGGCACTCAAATGGATAGGCATTCCCAAAGCAAATCTGGCTCTGCAAAAATCACAGTAAGAGGTGGTTGTACTTACCTTTCACTCAGTAGTTTAGGGGTTAGACCACTTACCTGTGTCCAATTTCTTTCTCTGACTTAGGGTACTTGAAGCTGCTTTTCTCTCCCAACCCCCAATTCAAATGCCAGGCTGGAAAAGATACTGGACTGGAGGTCTCTCTCAGTCCTTCTTTTTGAAAATGATCCACTGTGAATGACATAACGAAACATATATTAACTGTTGTGACCATGCACCTAAACGTTAGGTACTACAGGGTGCATCTATACATGTGCTTTAGTGTGCAGTAGCCTATTTTACTGAGCATTGAAGTGTCATGTAAAAAACTGTGCGATTACACTAATGCACAGTAAAATAGGCTACTGTGCATTAAGCGTCATTTAAAAACTGTGTGTATTCATTAGTGCACATTAAGGCAGCCTAGTGCATATTTTTTTAACACCTCACATTGGAGGTACTGAATTTAATGCACATTAGAAAGAGCACCTAAAAACACGTGTAGATGTGTCCACAGTCTCACTGAATCTGCTCCTTTACATATCTTGCCAGAAATCCAGTGATTCTCATTATGATGATTTTTAAAATTATTTGCCTGCTAAAATCATTGTCACTCAGCTAGATTGTTGGTTTCCACAGGTGACCAACCCATTTCTAGGGAAGCAAATGCCTGAATGTCAACCTGTAGTGTTCACCAGGGCCATGGAAATACTGTATGAATTAAATACATGTCCATTCCAGCTGACCATAGCCAATAGCGAGATGATGGGAACATTGCCAATACTGCATAGCATGGAAAAGCATTGGTGGGGCCAGTTGATGATCCTCTGGACAAAGGTGAATATTAAGTATCTATGAGGATTCCTTTAGCTATGTAAGTAATAGTGATACTCTGTTGATCACTCAGTATTCCTGCTGAATGTCTGCAAGTGATTCTGAGAATCTTTGAGAACAGTATTGTTCATTTGCTCTGAAAACACTCTCACAGAGATGCTATGAAACTCTGGGTTTTTGTTCATCTTTATTAGTGCATATATGAGATGTTTAGGGAAATCAGGGTCCAATCCTAGTCCAACTGGAATGACTGAAAATTTTTTCATGGACTTGAAAGGGAGTAGGGTCAAGCATTTTTTGCAGAAGCACGTGTTATAGTGTCTAGTGCAGTGGTGCTTAACCTATCTGGGCCTGCAGACTGGATGAGTGATGCAGGGCCAGTCCATGGGCCTGATACAGCGCAGATTTAGCACACAGGATCATTCAGCAGGCCAGTGCAAGCTTGGCACATGGAATCGGACTGCAGGCTTAATCCAGCACAGGGTCAGTGTACAGTTGTGATCTGGTGGACCAGCTCAGCCTCACAAGCTGGATCTGCATGAGGAGAGACTCCATGAGCCAGCCTGATCCTGTATGCCAGATCTGACCACAAACCAATCTCATATGCCTTGCTATGTCATGCAGCCCCTGCAGGGCTCCCCATGGGTCTGGAAATTTGTCAGCAGGAGATTAGTGGCAGCATGAATTGCTGTAGCTCTGGGAGCCACAGCAATGAATCCTGCAGCCACTCCTCTGCTGCCAAATTTCTGGACCCATGGGCTGGATGACACAGCTCCATGGGTCAGGTTTAGCCCACAGACAGAAAAGCTGAACACCCTCGGTCTAGTGTATTGAGGATACCAAGCTTCATACATCTCTATTGTCCTACCATACTAGTTAGGTATCACAGTATCTAGCTGAGATGGGGGCTTGGACTAGGATTTGGCCCAAACAAGCCTGAGATAATGCTTACTGGATCAGGGAAGAAAGAGTAAAACTGAAGCACCTGCCTACGTGTAGTGGGTTTGCCATTTGTTTTTAAAGTTGGTAACTTAGGGAACTAAAATAATCTGCATCTGCTTCTAGACATAGAGCAGTGCTTGCCAAATATGCCAATTCAATTATAGGTAGAGCTGATAGCACCACCTATTGTTAATGTTAGACCTGGTCAAAACACATGGAAGAGTTTTTCTACTGGAAACTGCTGTTTTATCAAAACGTAAATGTTCTATTGGAACATGCCAATTTTAGCTATGCTTTTAATTGGAAAAACAAATAGTTTTTACATTCTTATTTTAATAATGCTGAAACATTTTGTTTTGATAAAAAAAATCATTCTGAGTTTTGTCTTGATTCATTTTGGTTTGATATTTTGATTTTACATTCATTTTAATATCTTCTATATTATATACTATACACATATAAGGTATGTATTATATACATACTTGCTCTATAATACCTATAATACTTTCTAGTATGTCTGATTTCATTAAAACAGACGGATTCAAAGTTCCCAAACCAACATTTTTTTTAATTATCTTTCTAAAGGAAATTTCCAATTTTGGACATTTTTGTACCAGTTTAACATCAAGGCAAATTCCCAAATGTTGGACTTTTCCATTAAATTAAAAATTAATTTTTTGATTAACTTTAGTACTTTCCATCTTCACCTGTTTGGTCAGACTTAAACAACATTTCTGTCTGATGCAGATACCTGCACTTAAAATGTATTGAAGGTTCAGTTAAAACATTTTGGCTGTTTCTGAGATTGTGAATAAAGAAAAATACTTTTTCTCCACATCAAAAAATATGAGATTGAGATGTAGCTGACAGGATCATTTGTGTGTCAGAGAGGTGCATTTTCCTATCCCAGTGAAAAACTGCCCATATTTGACCAAGTTACAAGTCTTTGGGAGAAAAAAAATTATAGTTTGGAGATATTCAGTAGATACTTGTTAGAGTTCAGCAGCAAAATTCTCTAAAGTTTCCAGCTTACTGGGCATGCTCCAGGCTAAAACCACAGGGTTTTAATTTTTTCCTTCTAGCTACTGGGACACAGGAAGTGAGACTGTCTCCTCTGCAATCAGTGTACCCCTTACTAGAGTTCAGGCAGCAAATAAGAAACCACCGGACTGGGAAACAGAGAAAAATTTGCGGGCAGAACAGGGCAGAGGGAGAAAGTGATGAAGGTGCTTGAGGCTGGAAAGGGGAGTAGATCTGTTGGGAGGGAGGACAGGAGTTAGAGGATTTATGGCCTTTAAGTGTCTGGTGCCAGATCCATCTGGGAAGGGACCCCTGCAAAGGGCTCAATGCCACTTTGGACTGTGATAAGTAGATGCCAGCTGTATGCTCATAAACCTGGAGATTAAGGGGAAAAACCTCTGGACACTAGCTCTTGGAGAAATACTTTATTTTGAGATTTTGCCTAAGTTCTGTGTTTGGGTTAATAAAACAATGACCATAAGGAATCAGCCAGAAAGAGGCACAAGACTGATACTGAATTTTGGGCTATACGTGTGCTGCTAGTTAGTGTTGACCAGAAGTCTGCGCTCAAGCCTATACTTACAATATAAACCACTGAGCTCAGCTCCCAACAGCAGTCCACCTAAAACCCAAGAGCTCTGTTGAACTTGAAGGTCAAGGTTGAGTCTCCATCTAGCCTACCATTTCCTGCCATGTGTGTGGAGCTCATATATGTTGCAGCTCACAAATACAGGAAATCATCCACCAGTAACCCCAGATTCCCAAGTTCCAGCCTTTCTGCATCCACTTCCTGTCCTTGCTGACTATAAGATGGAGGAAGATGGTATGAGCTAAAATGGATGGGCAGGAGCAAAAGAGGTGAAGAGAGAATGGGAAAAGAAATAGAGGAGGAAACAGGAAAAACATGGTTGTAGGGTTGTAATAGGAACAAGAAGGCAACAAACATTGGGTTTGACAAATGGGAGCAGATTTATCCATGAAGGCTAAAGCACATTTCAGGTGTCCCGAGTCTCACCATTACTCTATATCCATCAATGTAAAGCACATTGCCAAACAGTGTGTCTTTCCCTCCTTAGTGACTGTTCCCCATGAAGGATAATGGCCTTCTGCTGCTACCTGTTGCTCTGTTAACACAGTTCCTGGAAATGTGTGGTATATGTTTACAAATCTTAATCCTACTGACAGCCCATCTTGAAAGCTGATATAGATCCACATAATGGCATCTAATTATCAAAAATAAATAAGTAATTATGTTAAAAATCAACATTAAAGGGAACATTCAGGTTGTAAAGACATTCCAAAGTTAGGAAATATCAGAATGAAGGTTGCCTGTATCATAATCTGTACCTGTCGTGGGAAGATTAATTCTGGCAATTTTCGTACAGCCTTTGCTGGGCAAGAAGTTTGAATGTTCGGTTAGAGATACTTTTGCCAATTTGACTAGCCTGTTCAGCATAGGACTATCCTGTGACACAATAAAGCAGGCAGTGGAGAACGTAAGGGTGCCTATATACATGCAGGGAGGCTGCTCTGACATGCTGTAATTACAGTACATCGGGGCAGACTCAATCAAGTTTGCCAGAGTGTGGTAATTACTGTGCTCCAGCAGACTCCAGCATCATGTGCATCAGCATCCCCATGCTGAAAAATTGCACCAGCAGCGCTTTAACTAAAGCTCATTTGATGAGCTTTAGTTAAAGTGCCCCCACCACCATTTTTCAATGTGGGGACACTGATGCATGTGACACTTCGGGCGCTTCAATTAGAGTTGCTCTTAGAGCTGCCCTCCCCACATGCTCCCGGAGGACAGGTATAAAAGCTCTAGGGGTCTGTTTCTTAAGGTTTTTCCCAATGACAGTGCATCAAATTACATTGGCTATACAGTATGTAGGCAGAAGAGTTAATTTCTAGGTGAAGTCTGAGGCTGCTGATTTATGAACTTTAAGCGGTTTAGTGACATGCTTCTTGAGAGAGCTCCATCCCCCTCTGTATATTATAAAGACACTTATAACTTGTTAAGTCACTTGCACTATCAATTTTGCAGTTAAAATGGGAAGGAGGTGGCATTAGGGTAGTCTTGGAGAGGGGTCTTTGGCTCCAGGTCTTTCTTTACCTGTTTTGTTGACCTGCACCGCTTGGACTTGACCACCAAGACATACTTGAAATGTTGCCTGTTCTCTCAACTTTTCCTGAAGTTTCTTGCTATGTAAGGGAGATACAGTGTTCATCACCCAGGCCCTGATCCTTACAGGTATTTAGGATGATTAAAGGGAAAACTAGGTGCCTCAGTGGTATGAAGGGTCTGGGCCTCAGTACATTATTTGCAAGAAATATGTGCTGATGCCTGAAAGCTTGTCCAACAGCACTTCCAACTATACAATTGATCCCAATAAAAGTCAGCAAAATAGCCATGCCTCTCAGACACTTCCTAGGCCCTCATGGCTAGACACTCCCACCCTACCACATAAGTCTGCATGGCATTCTATCTATTTGTTCCTAACAAGAACTTGCCCCCAAACAATTAGCATAGGAAGCTCTGACATTAAATGTACAACTCTCAGTACCATCAGCGAGGACTTTAGAGGGAAGGAGTGTGTTTTTTTCAGTTGGAAGAGTCCATGTTGCAGGTTAGCCACCCCCGATCTTTAATAAAACCATAGAATCATAGACAATTAGGCTTGGAATGAACCTTGGAAGGACATCTGGTCCAACCCCCTGCTCAAAGCAGGACCATCCCCGACTAAATCATCCCAACCAAGGCTTCATCTAGCCAGGTCTTAAAAACCTCCAAGGATGGAGATTCTGCAATCTCTCTGGTACCCTGTGTGGCAGGAAGCCACCTTTGTTTCTCCCCAAAATCTCTGCTCTGTGACAATTTGATTAGGATGGGCCCAGCAGAGGAGACACCCCTTTACCCTATCTCTTTAGGTAACCTGAGATGGATACATTCCTGAGGGAGGGGGGAAACCTGCTCCCTCTGCCTACATGACTGGTATCAGCTACCTGGGTGCGGGGCTTCTACCTGGTGGGGTAGAGTCTGCCCGGCAACTAGTGATGTATTTCAAATTGGCTGGCTGACAGCCAAAAGGTGCTGGCCTCCATTGGACCAGGTGAACGAGGTCACAGGGGCTATGTAAGTTAAGATTGCCCAGGAGGAGGGGGCAGCAGCCATGTGGGGGACTCAGACTTAGAGAGGAGATTTACCAGCTGAAACTGGCTCTCTCCCCCGTAACTCATGAGCTAGGAATGGCCTGCCTCCAAAGGGAACCTCCAACAGCCTCTGGATGATACTTGTGAGTAAGCTACTCGAGATCTGGTTAAATATGTAGCTGGCAGTAACTCAGATGCATGATCAAAAGGCTACCTCAGCCAGACTGTTTTGCTCGATGGGATTTCTATGATATCACTCTATCTTGTACCCTATTTTCACCCCACCCCCTGTAATCTGTAAAGTTCTCCTTTGTGATTGGTGTAGGAGACTTATTGAGGGGTGGGTCCAAATTATGCCTAAGAGGCCCCTTAGGTCTGCAGGCTAAGAGGGACTTTCCTTTTTGGCCCCCGACTTGGGGAAGTGCCCCAAGTGCTTGTATTGGGTCGAGTACCCATTGGACTATTAGGCCTGTGTTTCCCCGAGGACACAGGGCCGAGAGAGTCCCTTCTCGGGGTGGTGGCAGCTTACGTTACCCCCAGACTGCAGTGGGGCTCAAGAGCAGGTCCGCCGGAGCTTAGGCGCCCCTGGAGAGACACGTGGAGTCCGGAAGGTGGTCGGGCACAGTGAGGTGGGAGACTCAACGCAGGAGCGCCCCCTCCTGGCCTGCCACATGTGGTGTTAGCGGTGGGATACGAATACCCTGCTGTATTAGGGGCATCATTTGGGAAGAGTAATAGAGTCACTGAAATCCCTTGAGCAAACAATTTCTAATTTGGCATTAGGTCAACGGGCTAGTGTAGATAGCCAGGATGGCAGACGAGTATGTCCAAATGACCCTGCCTGAACTAAGAGATCTGGCAAAAGACAGAGGCCTTCAAGTGAAGAACGGGCTAAAGAAAGAAGAGCTGATTAAACTCCTGTGCAACAATGACTCAGCCATAGAGCCACCTTCATGCACGTCAATTCCTGAGTCCTCCCCAGAATCACATTCCCGCACATCAAGTCCAGGAGCCACCAAGAGATCACCCTCTGAGGGGGAGTTGTGGAGACTCCAGCTGCAGCTAGAGTTGAAAAAGATGGAGCTGGAGGCCCAGCATGAGTGCGAGAAGGTACAGCTAGAGTTGAAAAGGATAGAGATGGAGGCCCGGCATGAAGAGGCCAAGCGCCAGGAGAGACAGAAGGCAGCACAGCGCAAAGCCCAAGAGGCAGAGGCCAAGTGTTAGCATGAACTAGAGGTACTCTGTCTGCAGTCCAATGGGGGAGATGCGGGCCCTCCACAAGCACCTGGGGGACACCCCAAACCAAACTCCCCAGCCTTCTCTCGATACCGAGTTGGAGACGATCCTGACGTATTCCTCAGCATCTTCGAAAGGCAAGCCCAATGGTGGAAAGTACCTGAGGAAGAGTTCATGATGCACATGGCTGCCCTGGTAGAAGGTGACATGGCAGTGGTCCTGAACAGCCTCCCCTCAGATGCAGCTGATGACTATGATGCCTTTAAAAAGGCTGTATCTTCAAGGTTCAAGTTAGGACCAGATTGTTTCCGGAAAAAATTCCGGAATATCCGCCCACAACCCGAGAAGACAATGGCTGATTTTGTGGCCCTGGTGTGGGATGCACTCCTTAAATGGGCAGACGGAGCTAAGGCTGACAATAGAGAGAAGCTGCTCCATCTCATGGGGCTGGACCAATTTTATTATTGCTGTCTGAGGGAGATTAAAACCTTAGTCAAGGACAGGGCCCCCAAAACCATTCAAGAGGCCACCGAAATTGCAGATCAGCTGTTGCTAAATTGGGAGGGGCCAGACAAGAAGCCGCCCTACTTCGGGAAGAAACAGAAAGGGTTCCAAAGAGGAGGGAAGGGAGGGCCAGGTCCAAAAGGGGAAAAGGGGCCATCCCAGACTGAGCGTAAGGAGGCCCCTGATTCAACCAAACCACCCAATTTGGAAAAGAGGGGGGGCTATAACTGCGGGGAGCCGGGCCACATCAAGCCCAACTGCCCAAAGCTAAGCAACAAACCCAAGCCTGTCAGACATGCAACAGCTGTAAACGGTGAGGGGGAAGACCCGAGCCCCTCCGAGGGGCGTGCCTGTTGCTACAGGATTACAAACCCAGAGGAGGTGATGGCCTCCCACCGGACCAAGATAACAGTAAATGGGAGAACCCTTATTGGGGAACTGGGCACAGGATCCAGTGTGACATTAATCAATGCCAACCTTGTTTCACCTGCAGATATAATCCCGGGGAGGACCCTTACCATTCAAAGGATGGGGTCCCCGCCATTTGAGATACAGGTAACCCGTCAGCTCATCGAGTGGAGAGGCTGCGCAGTGTGCATAGAACTGGGTGTGCTGGAAGGGGCTCCAGTCCCCATCCTTGTGGGACAGGATATGATTGATCTAGAACTCCTGCACCGGGAGGTGGACCAGGTCCTAGAGCTAGAGCCCTACCGTATTAACGCGGTGACTCATCAACAGAGCAGAAAGGTTAGAGGGGGAGGGTTAGAAACTCCGCAAGAGACAGCCACACCATTGGCTGCAGTGGGAAAGCCCCCTGTGGAGGGCGATCGCACACCAGTCCCTGAGGGAACTAGCAACCCCAAGGGTGGGTTAAGTAACAGTCCCAGGGAGGTGTCTAGTCTGTCAGTGGCAGAGGGAGGTGAGACTCTCAGGAAGGAGTCCAAGGAAGTCCCTGAGGGTGAAGGTGCACTCCCTGCAGGAGCACCTGAACTCCATGCTGATTGCTTAGCCGGGCAAGGGGAGTTCAAACAGGAGGTTCTAAAGGACCCCAGCTTGGAGGACCTCCGGCAGATGGCTCAGGAGCAAGAGACTGAGTTCACCCCAGAGAAGAGGGAACAGGTGGTCTGGGATAAAGGGCTTCTCTATCGGTTGTGGGTACCAAAGAACCATGCCAAGACCTGGGAACCCCATCGCCAGATCGTAGTACCTCATAAATACAGACAACAATTGCTTTCCATGGCTCATGATTTACCGTGTGCTGGTCACATAGGCAGGGAACGGACACACTGGCGGCT